GCTTTATCTTGTACCGTTTCGACGCTATGGCGCATTTCTTGACAAAAATAAGGTGAAAATGATCAAATGGTCGATTAAATCGTTAGAAAGACTTCATTTCGAAAAATTGTATATACACTCCTATTACCCCGTCTCGGGTGTCAGCGCCGCAGGCCTAGCTATGTGTGCGCCAGGCGAGTCGCAGCGTAATAGTGTTTCGTGAGATATCGCGAAGCCTGTTACGCGAGACGTGGTCTGGCGTACATATAGCTAGTGTAAAAATTAACGTTTTAGTGATACAAGATAATCTAGGGACCCTTGAGCCTAAAGGAGAGTGTGGTTCGACGTCAACTGTGTGGTTTTAGTATTACTTCCTGCACAATGTTTCCTCGAGGACGAATTGAGCGAGCGACTTGGGATTTTCAGGGTCGCTTTGTGTAAAACTAGCTATACGTACGCCAGACCACGTCTCGCGTAACAGGCTTCGCGATATCTCACGAAACACTGTTACGCTGCGACGCGCCTGGCGCACACATAGCTAGGCCTGCGGCGCTGATCCCCGAGACGAGTTAGTGGGAGTGTATTCAGGAACAGAGCCTTCCGGCTTCAAAATTTGACATTCTCACAGAATTTGTCGGGGAATTTTTACTCTAAAATTAGGGAAATTAAACTTCTACTGTGCGATTAAAAGATCGAATTTTGATAGACTGTTATTGGCTGAGCGATTAGCGAAGCCTATTACTCCAGTGATGATCAAAAAGTTTCGCGTCTGTTTGTGTGTGTGTGTGTGTTTGTCTGTTTGTCTGTCCGCACGATAACTCGAGAACGAATTGAGCTAGCGACCTGGGATTTTCAGGGTCGTTTTGTATCATAAAAAGACAGATCGAGTTCGAAGAGGAGCATTCTAGCTCAAAAATTGGATTTTTAAAAATTCTAAAACCTCAGGTCCCCAAAATGGAGTTTTTTAAAAATATTTTTTTACTCTTTCCTAAGGGGTAACTCATCAGAGTATAGCCCTTAGGGCGAAAATTTCATCTATTTGGCTCTATCTTCAACCGTTTAAGCACCAGAGGGATTTTTCTACACAAATGACCGTAAAACATTTCTATGTTTTTCCTCAGATATTTGATGGTCTCCGGTAGGGTAACTCGTTAAAATAAAACCCCGAGGAACAAAATTTGTGACTTTTGGGGCTGAATGCCTACTTACGACTTTTCCTCGACTCGGGTGTCAGCGCCGCAGGCCTAGGTAGATGTATGCCAGGCGTGTCGCAGCGTAACTGTGTTTCGTGAGATATCGCGAAGCCTGTTACGCGAGACGTGGTCTGGCGTACATCTACCTAGTTCTTATAAAAAGGGTTTTTCGTTTATAACGCTGTCGTTCGTAGTTTTTTTAAAATAAAATATCTTCCAAACTCTGGTCGACCCTCGTATTTCACAGGTCTGCCCCCTTAAGGGTCCCTAGATTACCTAGTATCTCTAAAACGTTGATTTTTACATAACAATCTGTCAAAACTTTTATTGAAAACCGTTACCGAACAGCGGCAGTTTTATGTCCCTAACTTTAAGAGTAAAAAGACCCCGACAAATGGGTTGAGTACGTCAAATTTTGGGCCCGGAAGCCCCTTTCCTCTAAACACTCTCCTTAGCTCGTCTCGGGTGTCAGCGCCGCAGGCCTAGCTATACGTGCGCCAGGCGCGTCGCAGCGTAACAGTGATTCGTGAGATATCGCGAAGCCTGTTACGCGAGACGTGGTCTGGCGTACATATAGCTAGTATTTGAAATGAGAAAATTTGTTTGCAAGTCTTAAACGATTTATTGGCTGAGCGATTAGCGAAGCCCATAACTCCACTGACCGGAAAAGTTTCATTCTGTTTGTCTGTCTGTTTGTTTGTCTGTCTGTCTGTCCGCACGATAACCCGAGAAAGAATTGAGATAGCGACCTGGGATTTTCAGGGTCGTTTTGTATCATAAAAAGACAGATCGAGTTCGAAAATGAGCATTCTAGCTC